GGGGGGGGGGTGGAAAACTGATTCCTTGGACATTATTATTAAATATTAAATTTTCGTTGGAAGACTTTTTACATCTGGATGGAGAGAAGTAAATTGGTTAATTTAGCTTGCATAAACTAGAATAAAGGTTCCGTTTATGTTTAGCTGTTTTGTCATAGAGAGTTGATGATACAAGCATAAATAAATGTAAAATGTTTCTATTTATATACTAGAGTATCAGAGTCATTAAAAAGAAAGGCTATAATTTATTGAGTGCTTATTATGTGCAGACACTGTGCAAAATAAAGTGCTTTCACTACATTATTTCTCATTTCATCTCTCACAAATAACACCGAAGAGTAGATGTTATCCTCAGTTCTCTAGTTGGGGAAACAAGCTCAGAGCTCTCAAGTAACTTGCTTAGGATCACACAGCTCGTAAGTGGTAGAATTAACTTTCAAACCGAGTTCTAACACTCGCTCATCTATCCACCGTATCCTCAGAAAACAAAAGAAATGATGGTCAGCAGTAAAATGAGTTGACAGAATTATAGAGAAAAAACTTCTTTCTCTCTAACAAGAGTTTATTTACTACAGTGTCAGTCATTTCTTTTTAATGAGAAAACAAAATGGAACAAACACAACAACTTCTCCCTCCTGCTGGGAAGGATTTGTCCCAGTAGAAAAAATAAATACCGGTGTCAGATTCTCTCCTAATTAGTTAACTGAGCGCAACCGAAGCTTAGGGAAACCTGCCATGCTCAGTCCCAGGGGCCACATTACACTTTAATGTTGCATCTGGAAGCTGGAGTCCTCTCCTTGTCAGAAGATAAGCTGCGCGGGGATTGATCGCCCTGCCCTGTGAGGCTCCTCTGCATTCGGTGCCTATCGCCTCATTGCTGAAATTGCTCCTGGAGCCACCTCCTGTGCAGGCTGCTCCTGCCTCCAGCTCCGATTCTGTTGTCTCCGGAGCCTGCTCGTTTCACGGGCCTCCCCGAGTGCCTCTGTGTGGCTCCTGCCGTACCCACGCCCCATGGAAGGTCAGCCTACTCCCGTCTGGTCACTTACAGAATTAACGCCACTGGGGCCCAGCCGGTGTGGCTCAGTGCTTGAGCGCTGACCCATGAACCAAGAGGTCACGGGTTCAATTCCCGGCCAGGGCACATGCCCGGGCAAATAGGGAGCATGCAGGAGGCAGCCCATCAATGATGTTTCTATCTCTCCATCCCTCTCCCTCTCTCTTTAAAATCAATAAAAACATTTTCAAATAAAATAATGAAATAAAATAATAAAATAAAATAAAGGCACTGGCGACTCTCTTGAAAGGAAGCCCCAACAGCCTGATTCCTTCTGGAGTGTGTGAAGCAGCGCCGCTCTCCTGTCTCCTAGCCCTGTCGGCAATACTGGCTCTCACATTACATGGCAGCTGTCTTGTTGCTATCGTAGCTCAGTGGATGAGAATGGGAGGAAGGGATAAACGGAAATGTAATTGTAACAACCACGGTCACTAAGGTGGGCTGGAGCCAGTTTTCCTTTGCAGTAGGTCACGCAAGGAAAGTCATTG